TTTTTTGGAGTTTTCCATTGCATTAAAATACTACAATTTATTTTTTGATTACCCTGTTGTTGGATGTTTGAGTCATTTCCCATTTTAAACTATCCTCTCTAAAGTGTCTACAAAATTCTTGTACAGCAGGTCTTTTTGTGAACAATATTTTATTGCTCTTGGTCAGGCAAATACATAGAACAAGAATTGTTGAGTATAGGGGAGATATGTGTTTAACTTTATAAAATACTGTTTAACAGTTCCCCAAAGTGATTACATAGTTTTACTCTCTCACCAGCAATGGCTTGAGAATTTAAGTTGATATAAATCCTCATCAACACTTGGTATTGATAGTATTTTAATTTTAGCCATTCTTATGAGTTGAAGTAGTATCTCAAAATCAATGCTAAAAAATTTATTCTCTGTGAAAATTCTAAATTTTGTGATTGTTTTCCATTTAAATAATGATGATAAAATTTGTATTTCTTTTCTTCTACTATAAAACAAAGGAAAAAATATTTCTGCTTGTGAAAGGAATGGTTCAGATGGGAACATTTGTAATGAAAAGTCGAAGTGTCATGCTGACGACAAGTTTCATGGATGATATAAAAGCTCTGCCAACTACCTATGAAAAGGGGGAATATTTTGCATTTTTGGAAACTTATGGAACCCATTACAGTAGCTCTGGGTCTCTAGGAGGACTGTATGAACTAATATATGTTTTGGATAAAGCTAACATGAAGGAGAAAGGTATGCCTAGAAATAGGGCCATTTTGGCCAGTCATTAGCTTTTCCATAACCTCTTTCATACGGTTGAAGACTTTAGAATAAATAGTCCTGTTAATGTGCTCCTTTGAGAGAACAACTCTCATCCTCAGGCACCTAAAACCTTAGCTAAATGAAATTAGCTTCCATAATGAGCAAGATGACTAGGTCATGCACTATTCAGCAGCATTACTGAGAAATGCCCCCAAATTCTATTGAGATTTTAATACCTATTAGATGACAATGCTGCTTTTAGTAAACTACTACTTAAAAAAGAAAGAAGATGCAAGAGATATAACTTGCATTATTTCTTAATCGGTAGAACTGGTTCAGTTACATATCTGGCAATTATATTAATCTTTCAAAATATTCTTCAGTATTGGAAAGGAAATGTTCTAAATTTTCTTTTAGTGGTGGGGTATGAGGAAAACAATGTTAGCACCACGTGAGTCTGACCTTCTAAAACAAGGGTGGAAAATTAGTATTGCTTCATGTGACGATTCTAATCAACTGACAGTGGTTGAATTGGGTCCATATTGAGTATGTTTCTGGCTACATTTAAAATCTTGGGAAGGAGGACCATGATTGATTAGCAATGTCTGCCATGGATTTAGAATTGGCCTGTGTGTTACATAATTACCATCTTGGCCTAAAGACTGTACTCAAGCCACTTAACACTAAACTGTATGCAAAGTAACTACATTAATCATTTTTAATCACTTGTTTTGTGAGTATATATGGCTAGTTGTAATTACTCCTTAGATAGCAGCATATCTCCTCAATCTGCTCTCAATGTTTTGGCTATGTTTCTTAGGGATAGAAGTATAGTCCAAACAGTACTACCATGGCTCTGTCTACATAGCCTATGGCTGTGTCAAGTGAAGAGAGTGATGTGGCTATAATCTTAAAGCCTGACACTCTCTTCACAGTCAGTTAATACTTCATAATATGATAAACATGACACAGCCAGCAAAGCCAATTCTCAATGTGGAACCCTAAGTCTTGTCTTGGGCAGATAGAAGCCTTGCCAGGGAGAGCAGGACATGAGATTGCTTTGCTCATAGTGCTTCACAGAGCTATATCTGCAGCATAGTGAAGCCACCATGAGCTGGTAGGTTGTACTGGTAGAAATATCACATAGTCACACAATAGGATTGCCTCTTGAATAACTTGAAAAGTTATAAGAGGAAGGCTCAAGCAAGGATGATCAAAGCACATAGGGCCCCCCAGGCAAAGAGTTGCTGTGGTGAGAGAGCTCGACGGGCTGACATCTTTAATCCTGAGCAGTTCAGAGCTACCAATGTAAATCCACTTAACCTTTTCACCATAATAGACAAAGATGTTAGGTCTTTGGTGAAGAAGTCATCATTCTCCTTCTCTGATACTTGAGAATTGAGCCATGACTTCCATCTCAATTTGAGGTGGCCAGATACTGTCTGGACATAGCTGAGGCAGAGAATCTAGATCACCTTTTGGGGGTGATCTAGGTATTTTTCAACATTATCTTTAGAATCAGAGTCCTCATGCTTCTTAGACTAAGGTTTCCCTGGATTTCTGGAATTTTCTTCCATTTTTATCCTCCTCCTTTCCTTCCCATTGAAAATTCCACCTGCTAGTCCTCAAGTTCTCACTATTTGTGGATGAACAAGAAATATTTGCTGAATGAATTAATGCTAAAACACTTCTAGATCTCTTCTAAATCTCATTGTGGAGCCCATGGTTGATTTAACTTCTACCTCTCCTTCTTCATAAAGCATGTTAGCTTCTAAGAAGAACAATCACATATGTGTATGTTTGCGTGTTTGTACGTATATGTGTATATGTGTTCCTGAGTGAGTGATCTGAAATAAAAAGTAAGAGCAAAAATAGACATAACTGGCAAGCTAACACCTGGTCTGTTTATGCCTAGGATATAGAAATTATTCCTTCTTTTAAATCATAGGAATAGAAAATAAATTATAGACTTTGAGTAAATGTTAGAATTTTTCTTCTTAATAACTATTTGAGGAGTCCATACACCACAGTATGTCAGCTTCCAATATTGATGTCTACTAAACATCGTTTATAGGACGAAAACAAAGTTGTCCTACATGTATAACTTGCCAAGGTCATGAATCAGCTACCTTAATGATGCACTAAGTCTTCCAAAGAGGATCAGGAGACGCTGGTGCATCCCATGACCAAATTATAAGTGCTTAAAAGCCAGACAACTCTGAGTTCAAATCACAAACTTGCCTAGTTACTAGTTGAGTGCTATCAACAGTTACGTACCTATTTTGCCATTCTGTGTCCTCATCTGTAAAATGAAAATAATAATATTACCTATCTTATAAAGTTAATAGGAGCTCTGATGGTGTTGTAGTTAAAGCATTGGGCTGCTAACCAAAAGTCAGTAGTTCAAACCCACCAGTTGCTCTGTGAGAGAAAGATAAGGCAGTCTGCTTCTCTAAAGATTTACAGCTTTGGAAATCCCACAGAGCAGTTCTCTGTCCTAAAGAGTTGCTATGAATCAGAATCAACTTCATGGCAGTGGGTTTTATAAGGTCAATGTGAGGTTTAAATTAGTTGACATACACAAAGTGTTTAAAATAATGCTGTGCATATAATAAGCATTCAATAAATATAAGACATTATTGCCCTCTCCTTGGAGTCCGTGGATGGTGCCAACAGTCAAGCGCTCAACTACCAACCAAAAGATTACTGATTTGAACCCATCCAGAGGCACCTTGAAGAAAGGCCTGACAATCTGCTTCCAAAAAGGCACAGCCTTGACAACCCTATAGAGGCCTTGACAACCCTATAGAGAGTGTTTCTACTCACAGCACACATGTGGCTACCATAAATAGGAATCAACTTGACAGCAACTGTTTTTTTATTGTTTGTTTTTGTTTTTGTCTTTGTTTTTGTCTTGTTTTATATAAATGTATTACAATCTATATTATATGTATATACATGTATATATAATATACCTATCATATCATATCATACATGATATATATCTATATATATGTATATATATACATATATATATATATATATATATATATATATATATATATATATATATATATATGAAGCACAGTACCTAAGGCACCTGACTGCTAACCAGCCACTCCTCAGAAGGAAGGTTGGACAATCTACTTCCTTACTGAAACTGCTTCAGAAACCCAAGGAGGGGTCACTATGGGTTGGATCCTAACAGCAACAACAACATAACCATTACAGTCTGACCTCTATTCCTTTCAACTTAGTCAAAAATTTAGTATTTTATCTGCCATTAATTGGACAAATAAATAAAGTTAAAAGGAAGCTGCTGGATTCTAATACAAAGAAAGAGAAGGGCACATACGACCTTGGATTTGAGTTCAGTAGTGATATCTGAAAATCATAATGAGTATGTTCCTCACAAAATAGAAAAATTGTGATATATTTGAATGTGATATTGACAGATGTTATCTAACGCTTTTCATTTAAATGTATTAAACAGGTGTTGAAATCATTGATATAAAGAGATGCCTCGGATTTAATCTGGATTTGTCTATAAGTATTGCAAATATTGGAGCTGAAATCACACAAAAAGTTAATAAAGATAGTTGTTTAAAGAGGGGTGAAGGTAGATTTGGTAAGTATGGCCTAATTTTTTATATTAAATAAAAGAGGGCTATAAATGAGCACTGTCATCTCATTATCAGCCCTCAATATTATCTATAAGGAGCTCTGGTGGTGCAGTGCCTAAGGCATTCGACTGCTAACCACAGGGTTGATTCAAACATCCCAGCTACTCCATGGAAGGAAGACCAGGCAATCTACTTCTGTAAACATTTACAACCTTGGAAACCCTATGAGTCAGAATCAATTCAATGGCTGTTTTTGTTGTTGTTATATGCTGTTGAGTCAGACCCAATTCATAGTGATCCGTCCTTGGGTTTCCCAGGCGATATCACTATGGCAGTAGATTGCCCAACCTTCCTTCCGAGGAGTGGCTGGTGGGTTTGAACCACCAGCCGTCTGGTTAGCAGTCAAGTGCCTTAGGCACTACACTACCAGAGCAGTGGGTACTCTTTATTTAAAAAACTGAAAGTGCTGAAATACTATTTTATCTGTGTGGTGGTTTCTATAGACCTATACCCACCAATAATTTATGAACTTGTATTGATTAGTATGCTAATTTATATAGTGTGCAGTGTACATCTCTAGGAGGTTCCATTCAACCTGTAGCCAATGTAGATTTCCATATTTATTATCACAGTGGTGGAAGGTCAATGGTGGAAAACTCTCGGGGAAAAGTCTCCTTTTTTCTCCCTAAATTTTACAAAGATTCTAAATGGGTTAGTGGTGATGCTGTCCACTGACGAAGATGAAAAACTATATCCCCAATCTAGCCTCCCATCCACCTTGAAGTCCCTAATCCATCCTTGACATTAAATCAGTGCATAACTTTTTTGTAATTACAAATAAATTTTAAATAAATATTACTTCCACTTGGTAATTCCTAGCAGTTTTACAAGCATGATGTAGTGTTGTAGTTCTCAAGTATTATACTAATCAGAAATACCTGAGATGATTTTCAAAACATAAATGTCTGAGATCCACCTTGAAGAGTTCTCTGATAAGAGGAAGGCAGTCCAGAGGAGGAGAAGCCTGGGCAATGGCATTGTTAAAAGCCACCAACATGTGGCCATGATTGGAAACCACCAACATGTGGCCATGATTGGAAACCACCAACATGTGGCCATGATTGGAAACCACCAACATGTGG